CCATTGGAAATGCCACTAATCTCCAGGAATTGTACCTTAGACATTGCACAAAATTGGTGGAACTTCCCACTTCAATCGGAAATGCCACTAATCTCCAAAAATTGGATCTTGAATTCTGCTCAAGTTTGGTGAAACTCCCTTCCTCCATTGGAAATATCAGTAATCTCCAAGAATTGAATATTCGGCATTGCATAAAATTGGTGGAGCTCCCCTCTTCCATCAGAAATGCCATAATCTCCAAAAATTGAATCTTTGATTCTGTTTTAGTTTGGTGAAACTCCCTTCCGCCATTGGAAAGGCCACTAATCTCCAAGAACTGAATCTTTGATACTACTCAAATTTGGTGGTGCTCAAAATCAAGGTGCATCAAGGTTAGACGCGCATTGAGAAGAAATTTCTTTGTCCTCAAGGGTGAACAAAATGATGAGCACTATGTGTCCTTAGTTCTTCGTAGAGTATATGGGAAAGGTGAGTATTTTAGTTTAACTACAGTTAGATATCTGTTACTTCTTTGATGCTTTCGCATTCTGACTTTAAATTTCTGTTTTTTTTTGTTGTTGTTGCAGAACGTGCGTGGAAAGTTCATTTCTTGTTCTATCAAGAAGGCAACACTGCTTCTAACGTGTCCAGGGGCAAGAGGAGACTGCTTTTCATGATACTTGTGGGTCGGTAAGTCACTCGTGCCCACGATCAGACAAGGAAGATACAGTGTGTCGATGCCATTAAAGTAGAAGATGGGAGCTCCAATTAAGAAGCGGAAGAGGAAACGAACCAGTAAGCTTGGAGGAAGAGAGGTTAAGCCAGGAACGGGAGGAGATAGAAGCTAAGTATCGGGAAGAAATGAAAAAGATAATGAGGAAAAGAGAAGAAGTCATAATGGAGACAAAGAAAAGAAGAAAAATAGAACAAGTTGAGTAGCCAAAAAGGACAACAAGAAGTCCTTAGGTTTTATTTTGTGTTAGTTTGTTGATTGACGAAGAAGATTAGAAAGTTTCCTAAAAGATGGGAGTATTTTTCTTTTTGGTAGTTAAGATTATGATTTGGACGAATGTTTGAACACAAGGACAAAGACTGAAGTGGGAGGATAATCAAAGAAGCAAGACAGATTATGTCATCAGTGTTCATATCTGTGCTTATAGCACGTTTTTGTAATTGTCACAAATTTGATATTCCAGACAAGTGTTCGAATCTATTGAGAAAGCAATGCGCCTGATGAATAGTTCCACTGCTGTTGAGTAGACAGCCAAAAAGCATTCTCTAGACTCCCCAAGAATGGAAAATATATCGTCAAAACTCAAAACTATGATCCTAGTGTAGACAAAATTCAACCTAAGGAAAACGAAACACTAATCAAAAACCTTAAGACATGAAATATAAAATGCATAATAATGTCAATTTAAACCAAAATGACATAGATCCTACTTGATAGAGAAAGGTCTCAAAAAACAAGATAGTAAATCTTAAGAATTCAAAACAAGGTCTTAGCAAAAATCCAAAAAAAGTGAACAATTCCATCTTGAAGACTCTTCTCCTTATTAATCTTGCTTGGCAGCAAGAGCAGCAGCTTGACCTCTGAGACGTCCAGTCCTCCTTGCAGCAATAAGACCAACCTTTTGTCCGGGTGGTGCATCACGACGAACAGTACTTGCGTGACCAATGTGTTGATGGTTACCTCCTCCGTGAGGATGCTCAACTGGATTCATAGCCACACCACGAACCTTAGGCCAGCAGTTTCTCTTCACACGGTACTTGTGGTACGCGTTACCTGCCTTAAGCATCGGCTTCTCAGTTCTTCCACCACCCGCAACTTGACCAATCATGGCCCTGCATCCACTTGGGACAATCTTCTTTGAACCAGACGGCAACTTGATCCTATCAAATTAAAGCACAATATAAAACTGTAAGAACAAAGCTTTTTCAAAATAAAATGCAAATCCATTGAAGCTTAATCCCACAAGAATGGTGTAGATACAACTATTATTGGCACAAGTGTTGCAGAAGAAAATGCTTGCAAATACTTTTCAAAAGCCATTTTATAGTACTATTTCTTCAATTTACTGTAACTAGACAAGTCAAAATCATTGAGATGAAGAACACAAGCAAATGATGAGGACACTTTTCTATATACCAAATGATTCATAACAATTCAACCAGAACTTAGTGGTTATACAGTTTCTAATGAATCCAATCACCAGCAAAAACATTGAAACTGGACATGAACAACAACAACAAGATTTGCATCAATGATTTCTAACCAAATATAAATTTCTAATTCCAAAACTAACACAATCATCCAAATAATCTAACACAAATCAATCCACCAAGAATCAAGATTCCAAACCTGCTAGTGTCGTTATCAGGATTGTGAGCGATAACAATAGCGTAATCACCAGAAGCTCTAGCGAAAACACCACGATCACCAACATGATGCTCAACGTTACAAACAACAGCTCCTTCAGGGATAGATCTGAGAGGAAGAACATTTCCAACTACAAGCGTAGCTTTCTTCCCACAGTAAAGAAACTGACCGGTGTACATACCTTCAGCAGCAACGAAAAGCTCCTTCTGCTTCTTGTACCTGAAAGGATGACGGAAAGCAACACGAGCCAAAGGAGCACCACGACCTGGATCGTGAATGATCTCCGTCACAACACCTTTGAGGTACCCATTTCTCTCGCCGAAATCGAGGCTCCTGAATTTGGCTGGACCTTTACGGTGGTGAGTGTGGGATTTGAAGACGGAACCAGCTCCCTTACGTTGAGCTCTGATAACACGACCCATTGAGGAAAATGATTCTTCTTCTGAAGATTACGGCGTAAGGAGCTTTTGTAGAGGAAGAAGAAGTAGGTTTATATTCACTCACTCCTCTCAAAACCCTAGTGGGACTTAAATGGGCTTAAATGTAAACCAAGTCAAAGCCCAAACTAAAAAACTAGGGGAAATGATATAAATGGGCCTATGTAAGCCCAGACGAGAATAACCGGGAAATTTTTGAATCATTGGATCAGTCAAATCTATCAGATTCCGTGTTTCTTTCCCATGCACCAGCACGCAGCGTAAAACTGTCTCCTCGTATTCCGTTTTTTTTTTTTGAAAAAAAGAACAGTAAATGGCGATTATTGAGAAAATAATATTTTAAAAGCAAAAGAAACTTTTGAAATTGAGAAGTTGTTTGTTTGTGGAGCGTCAAAGTTGAAATAAAAAAGCGACTAAGCATAAATCATTCACCCGCTCCTTCTTCTCTGGCAAAAAAACACAAACACGCTCCTCCCACT